AAAAAAAAAAAAAATGAGCCAGGCATGGTGGCACATGCCTGTAATCCCAGTTACTCGGGAGGCTGAGGTGGAAGGATCACCTGAACCCAGGAGGCTAAGGCTCCAGCCTGCCTCCCAGCCTAGGTGACAGAGTGAGACCCTGACTCAGAGGGAAAAAAAAATCATCAATGAATAGGGGATTTCATGCTATACATGCCCCACCCATCCTTCCCAAAACCATAAGAAGCAATGTTTTGATTAACCATCATTCACACCGCAAATGCTTCTGATGTGTGGCCTAGTCCACAAAATACTCCGGCATAAAAAGGCTCCACATCATACACGAGTATATTTGGTGATGGTGGACGAGAAAAAACTTAGGAACTTAACCACAACCTTGGGCTGAACACTGAATTGCCAAAGTTCTTCGGATTAAACTTTAAAAGAAACTCTGGTCTTATCACGAAAGCCTAACTTAAAAGTAACTGGTGGCCAGGAGCAGTGGCTCAGCCTGTAATCCCAGCACTGTGGGAGGCCAAGGTGAGAGGACTGCCTGAGCCCAGAGGTTCGAGACCAGCCTGGGCGACTTGGTGAAACCTGTCTCTACAATAAAACCAGAAAAACTAGCTGGACGTGGTAGCGTGCGTCTGTAGTTGCAGCTACTTGGAAGGCTAAAGCGGAAGGATAACCTGAGCCCAGCCAGTCGAGGCTGCAGTGGCCACGAGTGTGCCACTGCACTCCAGCCTGGGCGATAGAGCGAGACTCCAACACAAAAAGCAAAAACAAAAAAAAGGAACTGCTAAAAGAAAGTCATTGCATTGGTCTGGGAACTTTACAGTCAGGAAGACAAAGTTCCTCTATACTTGCATTTTATTTATTCGAAAGACCTTTCTTGGGTGACTGCTGGTACAAGTCAGAGCCCTGGCCAAGCCCACCAGCCACCTGTGGGAAGCTGCAAGTGTCAGGACAGGGTGAGTGCCAAACACCCTCCCTGCTTCAGGTCACCAAGCAAAGGTAGCAAGAAAAACACCAACATGAGCAAAAGCCTGTCTCCAGGCCTGGTTGGCAAAGAATGAAGTGACACCACTGACTGCTGGCACCATGATCACTCCGTACCTGACCCAGTCGTCCTCCAGCTCGTCGCAGGACTCGCCGCCAGTCGTGTAGTCTGTTTCGTAGTGGTCTGGCTCCATTCTCTTGGACTTTCCAGCTCTTCCCTTCACAGGCGCCCGCTTGGACGGCATCTCAAAGTTACCACTGTCGCTGTAGCGAGGTTGCCTGAAGTCGTCCACAGGGGACATCACTGGAAGCTCTCGAAGCACTTCTGGCACCCTGAGGAAAACAGGTGTCATTGTCCAGTGACAACTGGGTCCGCTGCAGCGCTTTGCCAGCGAACTGCAAGCACAGGCGGCAGCAGTAGCACACGCTGAGACATCCACATGAGGGGCACTCACACGAGGATGCCATTTGCTCAACACTGAGCAGATGTCTCATTTCCTGCATTCGGTTCGGCAGCATTTCAGAATCTTCTAGCACATATGAATAGCTTTAAGTTTCCAATTATAAGGGGGGCCCCTTTTGAAACCTAAGTAGGGCCTGGCTCGGAGGCTCAGCCTGTCATCCCAGCACTTTGGGAGGCTGAGGTGAGTGGATTGCCTGAGTCTGCGGGTTCGATATCAGCCCGGGCAACTTGGTGAGTCCTCGTCTCTGCGATAAATCAAAAATGAGTCGGGTGTGGTAGCGCGCACCTGTAGTTCTGGCTACTTAGAAGGGTGAGATGCAAGGACTGCCAGAGCCCAGTAGGTCGGCGCTGGGGTGGCTGTGAGTGTGCCACTGCACTCCAGTCTGGGCAACAGAGTAAGACTCCAACTCAAAAAAAGAAAAAGAAAAAGAAAAAAAAAACCTAAGTAGGCCGGGCGTGGTGGCTCACACCTGTAATCCCAGTGTCTTGGGAGACTGAGTCAGGAGGATTGCCTGAGCCCAGGATTTGGAGACCAGCCTGGGAAACATAAAGAGACCCTGTCTCTATTTATTGGGGGAGGGGGGAACCTTCTAAGTAAACTGGATCTCAGATTTCATTTTAGGAAGTACAGGCTGATCTGTAAGAGGTGTTTACCTGGCCTGTGCCAGGTACTGACTCTACAAAAGGCTGTCAGGAAAGTAAGGATGATGGCTCTAAGCTACAGGTTCTTCCAGTTTCGTGGCATGCTGCGTGGGAAGGAGAAAGCACACACACAGTTACTTTTGGAAGCTGACTCTCAGAGATAAGCTCTCAGTAATCTTATACTACCCTATGTCGATTCTCTTGTCAGGATAAAACCCTGTAAAACTAAAAAACGAAGCTAGACTAAAGCATGTACTCAGGATAATTTTGGAGGCTGTTAATCTCAAAGCCATGTAGAATGAATGGAAGGGTCACCATGACACTTCTTACTTTTTTCTAATGCAATTATTGAATGTTGCAGATTTTAAATTATGATATTCCTGCCATAAGTGAAAACGGAGCCTAACAGAGGAATAAAATACCAAGAGCTGTGGCACGTGGAGACGACTTCTGAGTAACAGAAATATAAAGTTTCACCTTCCTCTGCAGTCCAAGGGCAATTTCTTTCCAAGTATCAGCCCTGCAGTTCAAATCAACTATTAAACATGTCTGAAGCTGTTTTTAATTGCTACCAACTACAGAAACTATAATCTTGAGCTTTATCTGCCAGGTTTACTGTTTTCCAGGTGACCCAGAGCCGCTTTATTCTAACTGCGGTCAGAGTCTCAGAATTCTACTAACACGTAACTTCTTGTAGACCCCTAAAGCTTAGGGGTAGGTGTGTGTAGCTGGGGGAGGTGGTGGTACGTATTTCTTCCTTCAAAATTTATTCAGGTAATGTGGCTTTGTGTGCTGCGCTAATGCAACATCTAGCGGAGGGAAAATGTGACTTTCTTTGTGAGTCAATGATTAACATGTTCCTAGACACTCTGCCAAAAGTGCCAGGTACGATACCTCTGGCTTTGAGGTAGCAAAACAAAACCTTTAGAATGCAGTGAGTGGGTCTTTTTGAGGGGTGGGGCCAGAGAGGGGGGAAGCTAAAAGGCCAAATAAATCAGAATACATGCATCAATAAATAAAGCGAGCAGGTCTCTTGCCATAATTGCATGATACTCCTATCACTGATATTACACGTCTACCATGGAAGTTTCCCAGCACCCCTCTTCCAACACCTTTTAAAAACTAAACAGAGCCAGGCTCAGTGGCTCAGCCTGTCATCCCGCACCTTTGGGAGGCTGAGGTGAGTGGATTGCCTGAGCCCACGGGTTCGAGACCCGCCTGGGCAACTTGGCGAGACCTCATCTCTACAATTAATCAAAATGAGCCGGGTGTGGTAGTACGTGCCTGTGGTTCCAGCTACTCCAAGGCGGAGGCGGAAGGATCGCCGGAGCCCAGCAGGTCGAGGATGCGGTGGCCGGGAGCGCCC